GATCGATGTGCAAATATAAATGAAATTATTCGCGTCATCTCTAATTTAAAGAAAATTCATATATATTAATTTAAATTATTCTGTTGTAAAACATAAAAGATTGTGAAAAAATGCTGACAAAAAGAAAAAAAAAGCAATTTTCAAAATGTACCTAATTTGAAGACATTAAGTGCACCAGGTGCCTAGAGACTAATTTACCGATTTATCAAGGCATGCTACAAATATATATATGCGCAGGCATCTAAACCGCATGTAAACAAAACAGATGATTTTTTCACGGTTATAGAACTAGTTTCTACGGAGTATTCTTGTACATAATATTATCCTAATACTTTTTTTATACGGATGGTGCTCATGATTTTTTTCTGGTAACAAATAGCATTGCATTTTCATTGGTCGAACTGAGTTACCTGCTGACGCCGTATTCATGCAAAGGGTAACTTCGGCCGATTTCTGTTCAGCTGATTTGCATTTTATTTGTAAAAACTAAATACTATAAATTTAAAAGGTATGAATTTAAGTTGCAAATTTAAACATAGTTGATAAATTTCACGCCAGGAATATCCACTGTGTCTTTCTGTATATACAAGATATTTTTAGAGGTGATAAACTGATAATTCCCCGCAATGGTTTAAAAATACTCGTCCGTAATTTTTCGGGCGATAAAGTTTCTTCTTGGATGTAATTTTCCAGTAAAGAAATAAATTTCGCCTATTATTATCAACATTGATTTGTATATGAAAAATGCATTTTCTTTCTGCATAAAATAGATGTGTGTACACTATAATGGGTTATAAACAAATTATTTTACGGTATTTATGAACAGTCGAAATTAACCAGGTGGTCGAAGTTACACTCGTCTGTGACCATCCTAACCTATATCCTGACGTTAAAAAAAAGTCTTGTATCTATGTAAGTAAATTACTGCATAGTTACACCATTTGATAAATAAATACATCAATCAGTGGATAGGTTTGTAACGTAGACATTCTGATTTTAAATTCATTTATTTACCTCACTCGGCACACCTCGGCAGATTCGTACCTCATCTGGATGAAGGTGACGGAATCAGCCGAGGTTTGCCGAATGTTATTTATCTTCGACCAGCCTTTATTTCTTTGCATCATCATAGGAGATTGACAAGTGCTGTCTACCCTTCAAACGAAATCGGGAGACGTTTTCCGCTTTGAATAATTATGAGATAATATTCATAGCCTAGGGAATGCAAGGTTTTCAGACTTGATTTTTAAGAAAACTGATACTTGGTCATAAAATAAAATTACCATTTTTTAATTGACCATTAATTATAAAACCAAAGTATGGCATTATTAATATTAGTCATGTCATATTTTGAAAATTTTAGGGGGGGGGGGGCGTGCGCCCCCAAGCCCCACTTAAATCCGCCAGTGGGGGCAGGCTCCCTGAACCTCCTCTAAATCTGTCAGTGTTTTCTTTCATTATACGGACTTGCAGAATAAGCGAAATACTCCAGACATTTAATAAAAATCTCAAACCCGATCTAAAACGCGTTGACAAAGTCAAACCAGACGGTTTTAGTTTTTACGGCATTTTTACAGTGATATGAGAAAAGTCGGATAATTGCTGTTAATTTTAAGAAATAAAGTTCGGCATTTTTCAACCTCGTTCGGTATAATATAATTTACTGATAATTTTTTCTGTTAAGGAGGAACACATGGACGAAGGATAAAAAAGAAGTATTCTGCATGTACATGTACACATCATTGCTATAATTGGGTACTCGGGATTAAACCCAAAATCCTTCGTTACATTGTATTTGGGTATAATTTTCACATGTTCTCAGGCGGATAATCATTTATTTTTATCTGTCTAAAGACAATAATTTCAGTTAATAGAGAAATGTTTTTATTTCGTCGTTTTTTCCCATCCTTTTGGTTTACACGTTTGCTTTGTACACAAAAGCGTGTGTTCATATACCGCTGTTTCTACACGCTATCGATGTGATCAGGGAGAACATGATATCCTCCAGCAATTTACTTTTTATGAAAACACTCAATGAAAACATATTAGGTGAAAATATATACACCCATTAGTATCTTAGTACCTTAGTATCGACCTGTTTAATTGCAATGTCACCAACCGTAACGATCGCTGGCCAGGACTTGAATATAATTTATTACCGTTATTAAAACAACTCGTCAGCTGAGTGGACCTATGATTTAAACAGTAAAATAGGGAAATTCCAGAGTTTGAAGTGTATTTATTTTGGGCGCTCTTCCGCATAAACAAATTAAATCGCATTTACGCGTACTTACATGCATGTACCAATAATTTGTGTCATGGGTAAATTCAATGTATTAGATGAAATAAAACAAATGCATAAGATTAATCTTCCTAAACAACACGTTTTTAAAACAATCTATCTGATATAACTGACGGTATAAAATAACAAAGGAAATAAAGGGTTTGTGTTTGTATTTAATTTGGAATGAGAACAAATCTTAACCTGTCAAATAACTTATAAAACATACTTCGTTTTCCAGACACTAATTGCCATGCGTAATCTTCACATGCACTGACCAAGAGGTCACAAGTTTGAAATGTATGGCTTCTCATTGCGTGAGTTTTGTCAACACATGTCGGAGTAGACTATCTAAGCCAATTGATCCCTAAAGAAAACTGCATAGGAAGGGTTCTTTTTTGGTACACTTTTTAACGGGTAAAATTCATTCGACGATCGATAGAATTTTCAAATACAAGTGAAATATTGAGGCGGTTAAGTTACATGCGTCCGACCTAGTATTTTGTATGCAATAATATTGTAAGTTAGGAAGAAAATAATACAAACTCAAAAGTACTTAATTTTATTTTCGATTTTCCTGTCAATTAAAAATGTGACCTCTACATATAATTATCGTTTTTAATTATATACATCCTGTTTAATGTTCATGAAAGAAATAGCAACTCGTTAAATAATAACATAAGAGAGATAAATAAACTGTTTCTTTAATACGCAAAGAAAGTGGTCTTTTCGGCATTCAAAATGCATTGAATTTGAAGTGAATAAGTGAAAGGCACTTAAGACTAGCTGATTAAAACGAGCGAGTGATAATTAAACAGTAAGACGGAATCATATGAAAGATTCGAAATGATTTTAAAGTAATTTTCCACAAAGCGCAATTATCTCAACAATGCAATGTTTATAAGAATAAATATGCAACTTTCTTGTAATTGAGCGAATAAAATATAAATCGAAATGTACTAGCGACTTAATCAAAGATATGAAATAATCTGAAAGATTCAACATATTTATCCACTCATCACTTAGTTAAAATGTATTTGGAATGGCCATTCTATGGTTTGTTTTGTGTATGACCTTAGGTCGCTGGTTCACACGCCGATTGATCCTCGGTGACCTCCTTTGACACGCGCTATCGAGGGAGGGGTTACATAATTGTAAACACACGAGGTGAATGAAAATGGCGTGTACTTAATGGCTGTGAATAGTCTATGTTTAAAGTTTTGTTTTATTTTCTAACTTTACTGTTTGTTTTTATATGATGAGAAGAAAAGGTTATCTTTTTTTCCCTGTTTAGTAGACTGGTTTATCCAAATTTGAAAACAAACGAAATAAAAGGGAAAGTTGTCAGTAAATAATTTGGAAATAAAGCACAAAATACTTCAAAAACCTGATTCTAAAGAATATTAGCATCTAATATAGCAAGGTTTATTATTTATAGTAAGTTTATTTTAATTACACGCATGAAGAGCTCTTGTTTACTTGCTGAATGAAAACACTTACCTGTATATGTGTTATGCTTCTAGCTCATTTAGAACAAAAGACTCAAACAAAATAACATTTTCTTGAGATCAATAAGATGTTAAATAACAACTTTAACTACGGCAGCTATTTCGAATTATTTACCGTTTTTGAGTTATAAAGCAAAAACTTTAAAGGGCCCCAGATCCCTAATTTTAGGAGCCAGACCCTTTTTAGTGGTCTCAAATGAAAGGCCTTAAAATTGTGCACAACTTTTATTCTACATGTTTTATCAAAATATTTTTAGTTTAGAAGATACAAAGGAAAATATGTGTAAATTTTCGCTCTTTTTGGCGTTCTAATTTTTGACCCCTCTCTAGCGTCATTTTGAATACAGAAATTGAAAAACAAAAACCGATGTGCACAACTTCAGTGCTTCTATTATTTAAATTCGGTAGAATTTCTACTCCAGCTTCAGTAGTCTCTGAGCCTTTGTCTGGAAATGAAGCCTCCTAAATTTTCATTTAAAGGGAGATAACTCAAAAGCGGAAGTGGGTTTTTGAAATGTTTGACAGCATTCTGATAGAATTTTGTAACGTCTTTAAACCCTGCAAATTTGAGCAAAATCTGTTGAGAAATGAGCAAGATATGAGGTCTCAAAGTTGGCGTCTAGGAAAAAAAAAAAAAGAATAATAAGAATAATCTTAACCATCAGAATCAGTAGAAGGTCTTCCGCCTGGAGCGGAAGACCTTAATGAAAATAAACAAGATGGATGCCAAGAGATCTAGAAGACAGGTCGAAGTTCTTTTAGTTCTAGAGAGTTTGAAGAGTATTAAGCTTTATTTAAGTGAATTTCTTTATTACAAAAAGTTAAACAGTAAGTAAATATCGAGAAATGATTTTAAAAAAAAAACTACAAAAAATTGAAATTACATGTAACATAACATGTATAATATAAATACATCCAATAATTTATACAAACGTCATTTCATGTCAGACGTCTGACATGAATTTCAGCCGACTATGGTTATTATAAAAGTCGCTTATTATAAAGTTTTGGCCTGACAAATAAAGTATGATAATAAACGCATTGTACTGCACATGTATTAAATTAACAACATATCATTTGGGATATATCAATTTTGGATGCATGTCATGGCCTTCAGACAAGCATCCTTTTTTTAAACATAATTATTCACTTTGTACTTAAAATACAGAATGGCATAATTAATTCATCATAAAATATGCATATAAGTTTACCTTCAAGGACAGTCTTCACTGCATTTCTAGAACTGCGGTTTGCTCTGAGCTCAAGCCTGCGTCTTTTGTACTTTGATGATCTCTGCAAAAGTCTTTTCCGTTTGAGTTTGTTGGCCAGCTTAATTGTGTGTTTTCTTGTAAATGTACCTGGACTGAGGCAGCAGTTTTTGTTCAGCTAAAATGTAAAAATTTATGTACTATGTGCAATTCGATATTGAGTTAACATTTGACAAAGATACAAAAATCAGTCACAAAATTATATATATATATATATATATATATATATATATACCAAAATGTTATCAGGAACCTGTTTGTCCAAATTGTTGTTGTCGTTTGACATTTCACCGGATATTTACGCTACGTATAATTTTAAAACCGGATTCGATCAGACATAGCAAAAACGTTTCTATGACGTAATACGACGTAGGTTCTACGTTAATATGTCTCAGTTACATATCAAATATACATAAATTAATGTCATATATATATCAATCATTACTGTATCTTGAAAGAACATTTCATACTGTATTAGATAATAACATAATTTTTACGGTTATCATCTACATGAAATAAACGCAAGCATCAATATAGATGTAGCCATTTTGTCACAGGTATGAAAAACGTCATTTTACACACTACATATATACGAATGACGTCGGGAGAGTCAAATTGTATCGCCGTGCTCTTTTTTTTCCAATTTTCTGCAGGTCCGGAGTACCAAGTAGGGTAAAAGGTCCTTCTCCAATTATTTTAGAACAATCTTTTGTTTTAGATATTCTGAAAATTTTCATTCTACTAAAATTTCACACTAAAGGATGTTTTCGTTATAACAAAAGATTTGACCTATAGGAGAGAACAATTTCCTGAAAAAGTCACATTTAAAAATCAATGTTATTTAGTTGTTTTCTATCGTAGATTTGTCTAAATTTTTCAAATTTGCATTTTGAACCGAATTTTTTTTTATTTGCAACTTTGAAAATTAACCTCCAAAATTGGTCAAACAGTATATTATCCGTTAAAGCACTAATTTTTGCGTAAATTTTGGAATAGAAGTCCTTCAGGGCAGGCCTACCCCTAACTTAAATTATGAAATTTTGATAGATTTTGATCTGAAGAATGATTTAAAACAAGATTTTTTAGGGGCACCCCTGCCCTAGGGTCGAAATTCGTAAAAAACCTACAAAAAGTGCGAAAACCTATTTCTATCATACTGGATTATATTTATGTCAGACGTATGTTCACATAGTCAGTACGAGTATAGCTCAGAGAGACAGACCGTAGACTCTCACCATGGACAATTTTAGCGTCCTGGTTCGAATCCACCTGTTGGCACACTTTAATTTTTCAAATTTTTCACCTGTATAAACACGAATTTTTCATACTGGCTTTTTCATTTTACTTCTATTTTCTTCCTTAAATGTATATGTTTGCTGTTGATATTAAAGACATTTATGGAAATGCAGATCATAAATTGGTTGAGGCTATCTGGTACCGCTTGCAGGGTGGCTGGCAGGAGTTATCTCTCCATAAATGCGTACGAGTTATTCCGCATTACGACGGTGATAACCATGAATTTGTCCCCTTATTAAAAAGTTCCACATCAATCGTTCTCTAGAAAGGTTAATGTTTAGGCCCTATTTAATATGTAAAACGTAATAATTAAGAAAAAGAAAGGGAGAGAGACAATTAAAGTCCTCTAATTGCTGATTTTGGAGCATATAGTGCATTCGAACTTTAGGGTGGAGGGGGAGAGGGTATCGTCACAATAATTTTAACGTTATATAATATTTACTTGAAAAGAAAGATGACTTACGGAGCTCTCTCTCTCTCTCTCTCTCTCTCTCTCTCTCTCCCCAAAAAATACAGTGTGTGATGAAGTTTATTTTTTATTTTTTTTATATATATTATTTTATGTACATATTTATCTTTTTTATTTATTTATTTTTGTAAATACATACCTTTGGTTTATCACTCTAGACTGCGATGTTTTCAGTTACCTTTTGTTGTTATTCTTTCCTTTTGACAAATGTTCACTCGCTTTGTCATTCTCCCAGACATGGCAAGATAAGCGAACGTCTTTCTTCTTGAAATTGAAACTCTTATAAATTAAAGTACAAAAAATTAGGGAATTCCGAATCCCACTACATGTATCAGTGAATGCCGGTATGCAAAGACTCTACATAGACCTTTTATTATATACGAACAATTTAATCAAGGGTCAAAAGGAAGTGTTTTTGAATGTCTCTAAGTTACTAACAGCTCTCTCTCTCTCTCCATCTCTCTGTCTTTCTGACGGTAGTGAACCCCTGCCTCAAACCGTGCTTGCTGTGTTCTACATTTAATCTAATTTTCAGACACTCTTTATTAGCTTTCTAGTCAATTCTATGATTACCTTGTACAATTTACTAACAATGATAGCATTTATAACATAGGTCCAAGTAGTATTTCAAGACTATCCCAAAAATAAAATTCGGCATCTATATGTATCCCCCCCCCCCCGATGAAAAAACTAAAATTGTTAAACCAGTATTTAATAGTGATATTTATTTTCTTTAGTGCATAATATGAATAGAGAAATGTTTAAACGCCAAGAATCAACATTTAATAGTTCTAAATATGTGTATAAAAGTTAGAACAAACTAAAGTCACCTCTACCGACCGCCAAAGTGTTGCTAAGATTGTCAAATCTTTGCACACCTTTATTTACAGTATTAAGTTTAACATTGTACATTCTTAAGTCCTTCTTAAGCATGGTCTTAGACTTAAGTACCCTTTATGTTATGACACCCAGAAAATGAAACTGCTCACCTCTAACAGGTACTACATTATGTAGCTTGTAACTGTAACACGTACAGATATCAAGTTATGATACTACCTACCTCTAACAGGTACCAGATTTCAAAGCTACCTACCTCTAACAGGTACCAGATTTCAAAGCTACCTACCTCTAACAGGTACCAGATTACTACCTACCTCTAACAGGTACCAGATTTTAAAGTTACCTACCTCTAACAGGTACCAGATTTTAAAGCTACCTACCTCTAACAGGTACCAGATTTTAAAGCTACCTACCTCTAACAGGTACCAGATTTCAAAGTTACCTACCTCTAACAGGTACCAGATTATAAAGCTACCTACCTCTAACAAGTATCAGAGTTCAAAGATACCTACCTCTAACAGGTACCAGATTTCAAAGCTACCTACCTCTAACAGGTACCAGATTTTATAGCTACCTACCTCTAACAGGTACCAGATTTTAAAGCTACCTACCTCTAACAGGTACCAGATTTCAAAGTTACCTACCTCTAACAGGTACCAGATTATAAAGCTACCTACCTCTAACAAGTATCAGAGTTCAAAGATACCTACCTCTAACAGGTACCAGATTTCAAAGCTACCTACCTCTAACAGGTACCAGATTTTAAAGCTACCTACCTCTAACAGGTACCAGGTTTTTAAAGCTACCTGCCTCTAACAGGTACCAGAATTCAAAGCTACCTACCTCTAACAGGTACCAGATTTCAAAGCTACCTACCTCTAACAGGTACCAGATTTCAAAGTTACCTACCTCTAACAGGTACCAGATTTTAAAGCTATCTACCTCTAAGAGGTTCCAGATTATAAAGCTACCTACCTCTAACAGGTACCAGATTATAAAGCTACCTTCCTCTAACAAGTACCAGAGTTCAAAACTCCTGTATTAGGTACCGTTTTTTAAAGGGAGCCTTTTTCTATCAGATTCCACATTATAAATAGTCGCCTGTGTGGCGCAGTGGTAAGAGCGTCTGCTCTAGAGTCGCGGAGTAAGGAGTGGATCCTTACGTCGCGGGTTCGAATCCCACTGTGGGACGTAGAGACCGGTCCTTCGAATGAGACCGTATAAACCGAGGTCCCGTGTCGCAGTAGGTGCTGGCATGAAAAAGATCCCTCACTGCTCAATGGTCCTTAGTGCCGATTATATGTCAAAATTTGTAGCTCTCCACCGGTAGATGGTGGCGTCTCCATATGAGTCAAAAATTATCGAGAGGGACGTTAAACAACAAACAAACACATGATAAATAACGTATCTCTATTAGGTAGAAGATTATTAACTACTACCTCGAACAGGTACTAGATTTTGAAACTTTCTGCTTTTGTTTAATAGCTTCATCTCTTTTCTCATGTTATATATGCCAACAATTACACATACACAAAACAAATAATGAACCTTAGTCTTGCTACAATACATGAAAAATTAAATGTCATGGTTGTAAAGTTCATATTGTCGTTTTGTACATATTGTCGTCGGTGACAATATACACGTATAGTGTTGTAGTGTCGTCAATCGACAGATATTGTTGTCGGCTGAACACATATATATATATATATATATATATATATATATATATATATATATATATATATATATCATATATGTATTTTTTGCCAACATAATCATAATGAGCTTTCCCTTCTCGTACATATTGTACGTTGCGTCACAGCTAGTGTTGCTTAATGTGTTTGTAGTTTTTTTTTAACGTACTTGACGTGTAAATCACACAAACATATCTGAAAACCTATTATATGCAGCGCAATTGTCAAGGTACATATTGTCGTCCTGTTCATATTGTCGCCGGCGACATAAACTACTTGTACTAATGTGACGAGTGCAAATAACATGATATTATATAAATCCATCATCATCATCTCTCTCTCTCTCTCTCTCTCTCTCTCTCTCTCTCTGAAACTTCAATCAAATACCCCCTTTCTGTCAAAAACGAACTTTCATCACTTTTGTCTCACTGATGTATAAAAATTGTCGACCCCAAACACCAATAACTTCAGTACATGTATAAGAATAACGCAAAAAATAACTTTCGGATAAACATTACTACTGAACAAAAACTTCATTTCAATTTCCAAGTATACATAGCAAGAAAAAAAAGAAGAATTGGCTGGTTTATCAGATATCAAATATCTCAAAAATTACGGTATCTTGACTTATCATAGTGATGTACATAATGTACATCATTCCTGGACACAATTTTTCTGACCAAAACATTTTGCCTATTGTATTGCGATCGAGTTATGCCAAATAATGTACATCAATCCTGAACACAATTTTTCTGACCAAAACATTTTTTCTCCCTACTGTATTGCGAGTTATGAAAATTGTTTACTTATTTAACTGGCGCACACATTGTCTATCCTTTGTCTATCTTTCTGTTTGTATGTCTGTGTGTGTTAATCTCTCTCTCTTCAAAACCTTAGTAAATATTCTTCAACACAATATATCGGCCACAAAATGTGCAAATGTTCACAGCTAGTATATGTCGCCGACGACAAAATGTTTTGTCGTCC